GCTGACCTGCTTCTATGCTCTTGTCTGACTCAAGCCACCCATGAACAGAATCCCCGGGGAAGAGTAGTTCCCTTACATTAGGTGGTAATGCTCTCATTAATGATAAATTGATGAAGAGCTGCTTTTTTACATTAGGTCAATGGTCGTTTAATAATGTGGTTTGAATCAGACCAAGGGTCTTATTTTGTTTTACTAGTAGAATGAGAACTACTCTAAAACATTTTTTTTTTTTTCTGTTACCAGAAAAGTGATACAGAGCATTTTGGCTTTTCCATTTGAATAGAACAACTCAAACTATGTGACAGGTGGTTTTATTCCCTTTTCTTTTTTATTGTGTTTTGGTAGGTGATGAGCTTCAAAAAGATCTTAGGGCTTCATCATAAATCTTGGTCCATTGGTGTTCCCACAGATATCCATTTCAGGCCTCCACCCTTTATCCAATTGGGTTGAAAGGTGAGGATATCCAGTCAGCCGGATTCTGAGTCTTCTATACTGAGGCATGAAGTTACCCTCTCTAGGAAGGTCTTGTGACTTGGTTTATGTTGGGATGCTTGTGGTCAGTGTGGTTTGACTGTAGAGAACTACTGAGTTCTGAATGGCCAGAACTGGAACCAGGTGTCGAGGTCTTTTAGAGTCTTACTGACACCCCGAACAACTTGGTCTTGACTTCATCTCCTGGTTGGGAAAGGATGCGATAGCTTCTGGGACAGAGGGATGAAGCTCTATTTTCCAAGGAGCTGGCCCCATGGTGATAGATGCCTTGTTTGTCCTGATTACCTAAATAAAGGCCTACTTGGGGGCCAGCAGAGCCTAGTTACACAGCCTCCTTTTTCTGTGGCCCATGAGACATCTGAGAAAGAGTCTTCGACCTTAGCATGAAAGTCCCTTATAATTTTCTCCAAGGACGTATAAGAAAGGGAAGCTTTAGGGAAATTCTTTAGGTTCTTTCCCAAACTACACAAATTAGAAACCAATCAAAGTATTGCTGGCTTGTTGATTTAGACCCAGGGCGTGTATCAACAAGTATAATGCCCCTTTGGGATAAATTAGTGAAAGGAAGGCACTTTGGATGTAATTAGTAAGGCAACATGATAAAAAAAAAAAGTGTTTTATTTGGTTTTGTTTGAGTGGTTATGGTTTATAATAGGTTGCTTATTTGTAGGATTGCCCCTTTGTGTTTTTTTCCCCAAAATATTTAGGGGAAAATAAATCCTGGATAGGGATATGTTTTTGGGAGAAGCAAAAGGGTGATGGAGTACCTACTGTATATTGGGCTTTATATAAATCATTTTTTAAGGACAACTTTGTGAGATAAATTTTTAAGTCAGTTTTTTTTTTTACTCATTTTACCAACAAAGAAGTTAAGACTTATGATCTGGTGGTTAATACATTTGCTGGGCTGGGAGTCTAACCAGTCTGACTCAAATTTACTACATGGTATGGTATTGATGAATTGGAAATTGAATATCAGGCAAGGTTTTAGGGAGCTATAGACGACTGGACAGGGTGCTAAACTCAGGAACGGTAGCAGAGCCTACTTAATCAAGTTTTCAAATTGCACCCTTTGCATGAGTTGCCTCGGGTACGAGGCAGCTAGGGATCTTACTTTAGCAGAATTAAACTCTTTAATGGATTTTCCTCCTCATGCCCTGAGAATATTGCTGGTCTAAGAGATATCTTCTTTTCAGGAAGATCTGTTCCATACGATAGACCACAAGTAAAATGTATTTCTAGTCTCATGGTTAAAAAAAAAAAAAAGATTAATTGGGCTTTATTTTTTTACTGCACATTAGGCACACTTTTAAAAAAGGCTGTTCTTAATTCTACCTTGATAGGAATTTAGAATTTTGCATAGAATGACTGCACTAGAAAAAAGCCAACGAAAACAACATAGGTAAAATGTTGATAATGCATTGATAATCGGACATGCAATTCTGCTTGTCAAACTTCTTATACCAAAGGGTTGACTGTGGATTTGAAAGTGGGGGCCTTCCCTCTTCCTCCTTTTAATACACGGAGCTTGAATACTAATATTTCCGTGAAATACAAGTTTTAGACTTGCAAATTTTTGTCATGAAATCAAAGGGAATAGAGAATTGTGAGAGCAGGGGTGGGGTGGGGGTGGGTGGGAGATAAGAGAAACTCTTAGTGTCAGCAGGATGCAAATCAACAGGATAATGAGGATTGCTAGAGTAAATAATTTCCATTTTATCCCCAATAAGAATATTCCTTCCCTCACCTTTCAAATTCCCTGCTCACCTCCTGTGCATCCGAAACAAATGATTATCTCCTCTTCCTTCCTGAAATGAACCCTGAAGTAGGTGTAGTTATGGAATTCTGAAGTGTTTCTCTCTGGGGTCCTCGATCTTAAGCTGGTAGACCGTGGGCATTAACATGTATGTTGGTTTTATACATGTTTTGCAAAGCCCTATTTGTTTTTATCATTTGAATTTGTGAGCATAGTAACACCTACCGAAGTGTATTAGGTATTCTCACCTTGGGGATTCATGGCTAACTGGAATTTCTGCAGAAAGATAAGAGATTCTGCATAATGTGTCCAGTTAAAGCTCCAGAAAGGCAAAATGAAGTGGATAGGTTGTAGATAGACACCTCCATCTTCAAATGACACTTATTTTTTTCTGTGTCACTTCACTAGTACAGATTCTAACACTTTCTTGGACCGCATCACAGAGATCTTGCGGCCGTTTTTTAAAGCAACACTCCAGGTATCTGGCATGGGGGTAGCTCTCTTTCCTCTGAAAGACTCTGAAGTAGCGGCACCAAGTTAACCAAACGGCCATGGATCGCCACAAAGGAAAACACCCCCTTTGTTGCCATGGCTCTTCAGCAGCCGTAGGGGAATATTAGGACAGCCATCCATTTGCGGTAGTACTCATCACTTGTGTGGTGTGAAAATGAGCTGCTTAACCGCACAATGAGCATGTCATTCTTCGGTCTTTTGCTTTTAAGTGTGTGTATAATAGCAACACCTAGAACCAGTGCTTCTGGGATGGGCATCAACGCGAGACTCTGGCACTCAGACCTCCGCGACGTGGAAACGGCTCCGTCCCCTCACCCTCCTCTGTTGGATTTAGAAACTTGGATGGATGTCTATTACCATCCGAGGTTAGCACTTGAAAACAAAAAGATTTACCGATCCTCAGTGTTACTTCATTGAAAAGCATCTTGCATTCATTCATTTCAGTGGCAGAATCATGTGGTATCTGAACTTGTTTTTCTTGATAGAAGACTCTGTTGAGAAGAGAACACAGCTATGTCAGTGTTGCTCTGGGAGAAATGACAGATTATACAAAATTAAAGCATTATTGTCTAGGATTTTTTTTTTTTAAAGAAAGCTACATAAGATCGCAAATTCTGTTTATTCTACCATCTTACTCTGCAGAGAATTTAAAATGGCTGATATTATTATTTACATGTCAGAGTCCTTAAGTTCTTTTATTGTTTTTGACTTTGTTGATAATAAATCTGATTGTCTTTCCACCTTCACTGGACAGAAACTCCTTGAGCACAGGGATTGTGCTCTTTGCAGTTACATATCTGGGATCTGGAACTGTGCCTAGTGCAGCATAAGCGATCAATGAATATTTGTCAATGAAATGGTTGACTTATAAAATATAATTTAACAGAGACAAATGTAGGCCAATAAAATCTATTTTTGATAACTGGGGATAATTAGTTAAGTGTCTGAGTTGTGGAACGTGGGTAAGGAACTGCCGAGTGCTCTATTGTGTGTCCCTGCCAACTGGAAAGGTTAAGAAAGACTTCTTAGGCGGGCCCACCTTAATCAATAGATTTCATCACTCAGGAGGCCAAATTTGAAATTAATTTTTTGCACGGGTATTTTGGCATTCCAGAATACTTAAGAATTATTTCATCTCTTAAGCTGATATGGCCCTCAACTCTAATTTTTTTTATTATATTGCCCTTGGTGGTGTTTTATAACAAATGAAGGGAAACCTGACTTTTGGCATCTAGATAGCCAGTGGCCAAAGTGGCACCCCTTCCTTGTACCACGCTAAACTTGGTTTTCCAAAAAGTAGTAGATTTTTAAAGTAAGTTCCTCTTTTTAAAGATTTATTTATTTATTGTGAGAGAGAGAGAGAGAGAGAACGGTGAGGGAGAGGCAGAGGGAGAGGGCGAGAGAGTCTCAAGCTGACTCTGCTCTGAGCCGCACGTGGGGCTCGATCCCATCAGGAGATCAGGACCTGAGCCGAAACCAAGAGTCTGACGCTCCACCGAGTGTGCTACCCCAGGCGCCCCTTAAAGTAAGTTTTTATTTTGAAGTAATATGTTCCGGTTTTGTGAGGTCTTAGGTAAAATGTGTTCCACTTTTAAATACATCTGGGGATAAAATGAATATTTGCTGAACTGCGTTGAAGACCGAAGCTCTCAGCCGAAGAAAGCAGATATTTATAAACTCCTATTGACCGGGTGTCCTAATATACAGGTTGACAAACTTTCATTCAGTGGCTGTATTTTCTCACGCTGTTGCCCCCATTCCTCCTACGCTCGAGAGGAAAGTATATACGAAATGAACTCATATGACGAAAACCTCCTAAGTCTTTCCGAGGGAAACCCTGAAATCCCATCGCTGAGGGCCAGGGCTTCCAAGGAGGTGGTCGTCCCAGCCTGTGGGAGAAGCGGTGACTGTGTGCGTGTAGGCTGCCTCCTTTCTTTTCAGTCGTGGGGGGCGGGGGGGGGGGCGGTGGATGTCGGTGCTACCACAACCACAGTGTATTTCTGCATTTGAATATATAAATGGTAACGTTCCTTACCTTTTATAAGTTTCTCTTTGACAGGTAGGCTCAAAAAAACATTTCTCCCTAAAACTGAAATGTTGATATAAATATCTGAAGAAAAATTCTAATCACAGTATACATTGAACAGGCTCACTGATCTTGGATACCTGGAAAAAGATTTTCAAACAGAGTGTCAGCTCAGCCTTGGCATTACTTGTCAAACAAAAGCACGCCTAAAGACACATTTCAAAAGCAGACGATGCAGCACTTGCGAACCTGCGGAAAATCGAAAAGGAGCGCAGAGGCCAAGAACAAACAAAATAGGAGCCAGTGAGAAATGAAGCACAGTTCTGAGGAACCGGTTCAGAGAACCAAGTATGTTTTCAAAAGTCCACATCAGTAATTAAACATCAGCAAGTCAAATTCCATTTTTTGTTTGCTGCAGTTGTCTTAAGATTTGTAATGAAGAAATGAAAAATGATCGATTCAGCCGCGGCTGAAAAGGGCTAACGCTTATAATCTGGAGGACAGGATGAGACAAAAGAGGGTGGAAGCCTGAAAGAAATCTTACTTTTGGCTTGCACAAGTTGAGTTATCTTCAGTAATGTCAGAATTTAAACATTTCAATCAACTGTGGATTTGGGTCAGGTGGCCCGTAGCAGAATTAAAAGTTTGTCTCACTTTTTTTGGGGGGCCGGGGGGTGAGGAATATCTCTTACATATATGTCACTCATGTGACTTAACTTGGGTAGTGGACTAACACAGTGATTGGGTAATGTGCAATCCAGCATGACACAAACCCAAGTTTAAGGCTAGCCAAATAAAATCATGTAGTGTCCTATGGCTTTAATCTTGTTTTCTGTTCATTTTCAGTGTTACTTAGCCCACAGTTGGGCCTAGACTTCACCAATAGATTTCTTTATTTACATACAATTGATATTACTCATAAGGAGCGTAAGCTAGGGCTTTCGACATTTTCTGTACGGTCACATGCGCAGCCCCTGGTGAGGCGTGGGTACGTGGAGGGTTGAAAATAAGAAAGACTATGTGGAGGCTCTTTGGAGAGATGGTTGCAGATATGAGCATACCTCACGGATGGGAGGATGTCTTCGTGGAAGGGAAATGGGGAGCTTGGTTTAGGCTGACTCAGGTTTTGGAAACTTTTACTCCCTTCTGTGTTCAGAACATGTATATACAAACTGCAGTAGAATGAAGATGAACAAAGTTTGCTTTTTTTTTTTTTTTTTAAGTAATCTCTACACCCAAGGTGGGGCTAGAACTCACAACCCCGAGATCAGGAGTCACTCGCTTTACTGACTGAGTCAACCAGGCATCCCCTAAGTTTGCTTTTGATAGCATATAATGGGGCTGATGTAAAATCCTGCCTTCCATAGTAATATTTTAACAGAAATGCCCATTTTACCCAGTGAAAATGACTGGAAAGAATTGAATGATACTTAGGGGCCTTTTATATAATTTCAGACTAAATTTTTTATTCTTAATTTGTTATTGAGGGGAAAGAATTAACAATCCAAACATTTTTTATTTCCCATAATTATTCGAATAAAACAGAGCATCTTTTTGATGTAGCGATTGCGGCGATTTGACAATTTCATTTCCTCCCCATATTTTGCAGATCCACCATTTCTTAGGCATGTGATGCTGGACAAGTTATTTAACTTCCCTGTACCTCAGTTTTCTTATCTGTAAGATAGGGATGATAATAGCACCTACCAATAGCTGTTAATAGCTGAATATAGTATAATAATAATTAATACTAATGTAATAATAACTGACCACAATAGCACTTACCAATAGCAGTATAATTTGTTGAGAGGCTTCAGTGTAGACATAGCATGTACAAAGTGCTTGGATCACTGTCCGGCACATGGCACGTACGCAGATGTATGTTGCCATTGTACTAATATTCATCACATCTGTACAAATACAAAACTCTCATTTGTTCTTTGCTTAAAAATAGCTTTATTGAGGTACAATGTGCATATCATATAATTCACCTGTTTTAGGTGTACAATTCAATGATGTTTGTAAATTTACAGATTTGTGCAACCATCATTTATCTGTTCAGCAGTTGATGGACACTGGGATGGTTTCCACTTTCTAGCTACTATGAATAATGCTGCCGTGAACATTCACATACAGGTCTTTGTGTGGACATACGTTTTCATTTCTCTTGAGTAGATGACATTTTTGTTTCTTTGGGGTAGACACAAGTAAAATTGTTGGATCAGATGGTAAATAGATTTTTAAACTTTAGGAGACTACCAAACTGTTTGCCAAAGTAGCTGCTTTATTTTACATACTCACCAGCCATGTTTTGAGAATTCCAGTTTCTCTATGTTCGTGCCAACACTTCTAATTGTGTGTCTTTTCTTATTATAGTTTTTCCAGTGAGAGTGATGGGCTATTTCGTGGAAGTTCTAATTTTTATTTCCCTAATGGCTAATGATGTTCAACATCTTTTCATGTGCTTATTGGTCATTCATGTATCTTCTTTAGTGAAATGTCTATTCTTTTGCTTATTTTTTTTTTAAGATTTTATTTATTTGAGAGAAAGTGAGAGAGAGAGCACAAGCAGGGGGAGAGGGAGAGGAGGAAAGAGAAAGAGAGGGAAAGGGAGAAGCAGGCTCCCCACTGAGTAGGGAGCCCAATGCAGGCCTTGATCCCAGGACCCTGGGATCATGACCTGAGCCAAAGGCAGATGCTTAACAGACTGAGCCATCCAGGTGCCCCTCTTTTGCCTATTTTTAGATTGGGTTCTTTGTCTTTCTATTATTGAATATATGACTTCTTTATATATTCTGGATATGGGTTCTATCATTTCTCCTTGTCTTTTCATTTTCATAATATTTTTTGAACTCCAAAGCTTTTAATTTTGATGAAGATCAATTTACCAACTTCTTCTTTTATGAATCATGCTTTTGTTGTCATGTCTGAGGACTCTGCCCAATCCAAGGTCATGAAGATTTTCTCCTGTGCGTTCTTCTGAAAGTTTTGTGGTATAGTTGGGTTTTTAAATTTAGGTCTATGATAATTTATTGTTTCATTGAGCAAACATTTGAGTATTGTGAATACACAGTTAAAAAGATTTGGTCCCTGCCCTGAAGAAGTTTATAGGCTAGTGGGAAGATGGATGCATACACAATGATCCCAGCACATTATTACCATGGCAGAGGTAGGTAGGCTATGTAGAAGGAGCAGAGACATCCATGTTTGTTTCTGGGAGTCAAGCCCATTGTCCAGAGAAGTTAATGTTGGACCTGAGACTTGAGAGAGGGGTAGTTGTCGTCCAGGTGGTATGCTGGGGAGGGCTATCAGGCAGAGCTAAGAGAACATACAAAGGTAGAGGGAGGTGGATGAACAAAATTACTAGAGAATCAATGGTCCGGTAGAGAGGGGAGGGCAGTACGGCTGGTAAGTAGGCAGAAGCCAACTCACAAGGGCTTTACCATATAGCCTTTGAGGAATTTGTGTTGGTGAGCAAAATCAGAGTTGTGTGATAGAAAAAATAACTTTGGTGGCAGTGTAGATACTAGACTGAAAAAGGGATACTAGACAGTATATCCTATGGACCGCCCATTCCAGAATCACCTTGCCGGGCTTCACCCCATCCCACTAATCAGAAACTGTGGCCTGGATCTCATGAATCAGCATTTAAATTAAGCCCCCCCCCCCCCCCAGTGATCGTAATGCCCTGCAAAAGATAGGTACCACTGGGTTAGAAAATAGTTAGGAGGCTATGGTTATAGTTCAGGTAAGAGCTAATTAAATCCTTAAGCCAGCAGTGGTGTGAGAGAAGACAATACCAGTGGGGTATGAGAGAGATTGAGAAGGGGAGGAATAGGCAGCATTTGGATAGGTGGTGGTGCCACTAACTTTAGTAGGAGGTTCAGCTGGAGGAATAACATGGTGGAGGTGAGTGTGAGAGGGTGATGAGATTGGTGTTAGAGATCCCAAGTTGAAGGAGCCTGTGGAACACCCCTCTGAAGACATCTAGCAGCAATTCTACACAGTTCTTTAGTTCAGGAAAGTGGTTTGGGCTGGAGATAGGAGATCTAGGCCACTTCAAAGAATAGTCATAACCATGTTTGAGCATATTGGAACCCACAGAAAAATAGTTTTGTTATGACCAGTGGAACATGCCCAAATTCCTCATTAAATGTGCAGAAGCACATTCTGGAATCCAACTAGCCTTCAGTCTGATAACTCATCATGTATAAATGCGTGAGGGGTTAATTCTCATCTTGAACCTCTCTTCCCCTCAGTGGCACCTTCAGTCATTCAGAGGTAGGTATGTGGATTAGTTAGCTGTAACAAACCCCGGTTTTGCAGTAGCTAAACACAGTAAGAGTCTATTTCTCCTGAAGTCACAGTCTGATGCAATTGGCAGGAAGTTTCCTCCATGTGGTTGGTGATTCACGCACCTGGTTCTTTCCAACATCTGGCTCTACCATCCTCTGAACACTCAAGGGATCTGCATCAGGTGGCACCTGGGAAGAAAAAGGGTGGAGAAAGCATATCCACTTCTTGGCCACTCTGGCGCCGAAATGACATTGGCTTATGTTCTTTTGGTGAACACTAGTTATGTGGCTTTACTTAGATGTAAGGGGGCTGGGAAATGTGCCTGACCAGGCAGTTGCTTCTCAATGACAACTCTATATAATGGAAGGGGGCACACAAATTTTTGGAAGATGGTTAGTCTTCTCTAGCACAGTGGCCCTACTGTTAGATTAGAGAATGTTCTAACCCGATATCTGGAGTAGACTAAAAAAATGCTCCATGAAAGTGTCTAATTCTTGATTGACTAGAGTTTTTGAGCCCCTGTTCTATGCCCACCACTATTTTAGGCATGATAGGGATAGAATTAAAGCATGAATGGGTTGACCAATCAAAAGGTACTTATTTGGCACCTATGATGACCATAGCATTACGTGGAAACTTGAGTTTAAATTATGACTCTTTTGAAGAAGCAAGAATGACTCTCATGAAGTGATCAGCAATCAGTACTAGAGAGAATATTAACCTTTAGTAGTAAACAGTATTGTATATACTGTATCAGGAACAAAATCCTAGAGGATCAGGGATTGTATGGCAGCCAAATTTGCAGAGGTGGAGCTGCAACTGAGTCTTACAGAGTGGACCTTGGATGGATGGAGTAGAGAGAAGGAACATGCCAAGAAGGGCAAAGCAGATATGAAGGCACAGAGGCAGCATGAATGCGGACGTTCATGGAACACAGCTAGTCTGATGAGGGTGGAAGGCATGTTGGGCAGGCAGCCATCTCAATAAAATTGCTTTTATTTGTTACTGCAGCATAAAAAAATAGTTTGATGGATTTGCCCAAATTTGGATTCATGGGGAGGGAGGCTTTTTTGTGGGAATAGGGTGAGTTGGTCATAGACCAAGAAAACAAATAGCATTTTTTAACCTCTAAAATGTAATTCACAAGGGCTGATGCTTTAAATTGCAGGCTTTCCTTTTGGATTTTACTGTTTCTCACATTGGCAGCACTATGTAACTTAGTCACTCTTTCTAGTGGGCTCCAGGGTGAGCAGTAGCAGGGATTTATTTATTCAACGATGGTTAATGATTCTCCTGAGCCAGGCAGGGTAAGATAGCTCATGGAAAATAAGGCTATCTTGGTTGAATGGGGTCATCTTATAAAAGGTGGTGACAGTCAGATGGCTGAGTTCAGATTTGATGTGGTGGGTACTGGGGAGCCATTGAAAGTTTCCAAATAGGCGAGTAACTTTTTGAGAGCGTTAGTTAATGAAGATTCATCTTCCATCAATATGCGGCATGGCTAGAAGTGAGGGAGGCTGGTGGAAGGGAGTTCAGGCAGACAATTTCAGAAATCCAGAGATGAAGGGCTGAGGGCTGGTGTGGAGGGAATGGAGGAAAGCACAAGGGGAAATGGTAAAGTGAGGCGAGGGCAGAGTCTGAAGATTGTGGGCTTGGGGGAATGGCAGTGACGCAACAGAATTAGTGGGCAGTGGAGCGTGGGGAGGAGATGATCCTGTCCGCCTGATTACAGCAGTGCCGTGGGCTGACAGCATGACTGGTAAAGAACGCTCACTATCTCTTTAGTCTCTCATTAGTCAGGGGAGCGCATTTGTGGCTCAGCCCGACCACTTGCTTCCTGCAGCTAGCAGGCTGTGCTCAGAGTCTCCTCAGGTGCCCAGCAGCCCTCTAATCCAAGGATAAAGGATTGCAAGCCAAGACCGAAGGCTTTTGAGTGGTCTCTAATTTTTATTGACAGCCCCAAAAAGTTCTAGATGCACTTAGCACCTCCAAAGAAGCGCTAAATGATTTAACATTTTGGGGACAAATTGGTTCTATTAGTCTCTAGTGCCAAATTCACCAAAAGTAGCTCATTAGCTGTGCATTGTGATTTCACTAGGGTGCCCTGATCTTGGCTGGATTCCAAAGAACACATTTGTATAAAAATGTTCCCATTATGGAGTGTGATACCTATTAATGGAACACCATATGCAGCGGAGCATTTCCCCTTGCCTCCTCCCCGTCTTTCAACCTGAAGTTTGTATTTTCCATCCATTTTTGCCAAGTGACCTACTTTGCAAGGGTTAAACTTTACCTAATGGGCTAAGGCCTGAGATGCTGCAGCAATCAATCTTTCATCTGGCTTTCAGCATCTCGGTTTCCCCTTTCTCCATGCCTACTGCCAATCCTAACCCTTTCATTCCGGCCTAGCCTGGGGGAAGGAGAGGGAGGGGGCAAAGCTGAGAGTGGGCTCCAAGCCCAGACCTACAGCTGTGCCTGATTGACCGACATTTCTGTTGTTAGCCACAGAAAAAGGCCACTTTTAATGGCTAAAGCGAGAATGACCAGCTGGTGTGACAGGCCTTGGGTCTTTGCCTGGTTGCATTAAAATTCATCAGTTCCGGCCCTTTTTCATTATGTGCATGATTTTCAAGGGTGGTATTTCCAGACACATCTTTTACTCAAGTTCCTGGCTACCAAACACTATCTGTCGTTATTTATTTTTAAATGATATCTTTCATTGTGTAGATGGCTTTAAACTTTCATTTAAAATGACTTAGGGTAAAAACAAATGAGGGATACCTGTTATTCATCAGGACAGAGCTGTAGAGAGGTTCAGTAATAAGAGAAAATCAAGAGATCATACTAAAATCAAGAAAGTCCACTGGATAGATGTAAACATTTGTCTGAAAATGAATGTTTTCTGAGGTCTTGGATATGAAACCCCTTGGGTGCCGTTAGTGTTCAAATTGAGCATAATGTATTTGGATTTGAGATCTAGGTTTTCTTCTTTGTCCCTGGAGTGGAAGAGTTGAGAATGGCCCCATAGGTTGGCATGATGCGGAAAGATATATGTTAGTGAAAAACATCATTAGTACTAGGTACATTTTGTCCACAAAGAAATACATTTGTGGGGTGCCTGGGTGGCTCAGTCAGTTAAGCATCTGCTTTCGGCTTAGCTCATGGTCCTGGGGTTCTGGGATGGAGTCCCATATTGGGCTCCCTGCTCAGTGGGGAATCTGCTTCTCCCTCTCCCTTTCCCCCTCTCCCCATTCATGCATTCTCTCTCTCGCCCCTAGTAAATAAATAAAAGTCTTTTTTAAAAAAAGAAATACATTTGTTTTTAAAGTAATGTATTAATTCAACAGACATATAGGGAGCATCTACAGTGGACTACACTGGACTAGCACTGTGGGTGATGATATAAAAATGAACAAACACAATCTCTGACCTCAAAATGTTCCCAACATATATATGCACAAATGAGTGTTTTTAAAAATCCAGAAGAAGAAATGTGCTAAAGTAAATGAGCCAACAAGTAAGCAAACAAAAACAAAACAGGAGGTAGGAGCAGAATACTTTACTAATTCAGTGGATGACAAGATTACTTATTGGAGATACTGAGGAATAAAAATTCTGTGCCTTTTCACATACAAAATGCTGGCTCTTCTCTGGAAGGATTTGAGCTGGGTTTGGAAAACTATATAGGCAATGTTTAGTTTGTTCATTGTATTTTTCAGAAAGGCCACAACCCATCCTTAAATCACAAACTAATTTTAATTCTGCATGTGAAAAGCCTTGTTCTTGAATTAAATTCATTGCTTTTTAAGAGCATGACAGTATCTGAAAGTTAATTTCTTTTTTTTAAAAGATTTTATTTATTTATTTGACAGAGAGAGACACAGTGAGAGAGGGAACACAAGCAGGAGGAGTGGGAGAGGGAGAGGCAGGCTTCCCGCTGAGCAGGGAGCCCAGTGTGGGGCTCGATCCCAGGACCCTGGGATCATGACCTGAGCCAAAGGCAGACGCTTAACGACTGAGCCACCCAGGCGCCCAAGTGAAAGTTAATTTCTATTTCCCTTGGGTATGTACTTCTAAATAGTACATTGTCTTGAGACTAACATGGAAATCTTTAAAAAAACATAACATGTTAAAGTTTATCAATAGATCAAAGAGGTCTGGATAAAAATCTCTTATCTAGAGCTTCCTAATCATACATCCATAATTTTAAATTAATGACTCTCAATCAAGGGTCTCTGGGGCAGGTCCCAGGATTCGGTACTAGGTAACAGTTCTGAAGGTGATGCTGATGAGCATCCAGGTTGAGACCACTGCATTACATCTACAACTGAAATACATAAAATTTCCCACTTAAAGTGGAAGTATAATCTGTGGATGCCTCATTGATTGCTGTCTTTATTTCAGGTATTGTTAACTGGAAAAGAGAAATTTTTCTTCCTTACTGTATTTCTGCAAGAAGAAGAGGGTGGTGTCCCACAAATCTTGGGAGCATCTAAGAATTACAGTCACAGGTAAGATTATGCTACTTTCCTTCTTTAGAAATTAAACTGACCTCTGTTTTCTAGTAACACCAGTCAAGGCCAGTGAGAGTCAAATAAGTAGGAAGCTCCCTGGAGAGTGTTTAGCATGGACAGAGTTTTCTGTGGTGGGCAGGGTAATAGGGTGCAATGTCATTTCCAGGTTTGGTACATGAACTTTCATATACATCGTGCTGGTTGTTCTCTGCTTCCCTTCCTCATCTCACCTGTGAGATTCATTCTCTGTCCTTTTCTTTGCTGCAGCAGGCTCCAGGCAGCTGACCCCTTGGCCGCGACACACCCTCCCTCCCTCTTCCTGCCCGGTAGAGCCATGTCCTCCCAGACAATAGCTCTGAGGGCTGGCCCCTCATTGATGGCTCCAGCTCTCTCCAAGCTCCAGCAACATGGTGGCAATGGCTTCCCAGTGTTTCTCCCCTGACCCTGCTCTGTGGATAGTCTTTCCTTACATTTCTTCAGAATACCATCTGACTGGGTTTTCTGCTGCCCACCAGGACGTGGCAGATCTATGAATCACATTCCAAAGAGTTTTCTGGATGTTCACACATAGGAGCCCAGATTTGTTTCTTTAGAGAAGGACCAGAGCAGCTTAAAATGACCAAGTACTAGAGTAGGAGCATCAGGATGGGGAGATGGCAAAAGGAGTTCTTGTGGGGAAAACTCTAATAAAGTACAAAGGGATGGAGGAAAGATTTATGCTGACGGCAGAGAATGCCTAGGAACATTACAGAAAGAAAACTATTAGATTTACCTTGCATTCACAAGAGCACATTTTGAAAATAGATATTGCGAGCCAAATGATGAAGACTTGCAATCTTAGCTTGCAATATAGCCCATAGATCTGAAAGGAATGAGCTGACAGCAGATCAGAGTGAGAATAAATAGAGTGACTACTAACTATGGGCAGGGCACTGTCCTTGATCCAGTCGCTGATGCTTCAGGCATTTGCTGTAGCATGTGTATGTCACTGGGAAGGTGGGGAAGCACCGGATGACAGCTCTGCATGTTGGGAAAAGTTTTTGTGTGCTGTCAGAGTTTTTCAGCCTTGTCAGGTTACCAGAAGGCAAAATTTGACTTTGTGTCATGTCTTGTGTCTTAGTTGTACATGGATGCTTTCAAAGAGACGTACTTTACTTACAGAGATACTTGGGTTCTTCCTCTTGGTATAAGATTATGTCAACAAAGAATCAACAAGTATATTCTCAGAGCTTAGCATATGCTAGGCATTGTATAAACCTCACGGGCTCATTTCAATATGTATTTGTTGGACACGTATATGAACCAGCCACAGAGAGAAGGATGTTGTTTCTCTTCCCAAGCACCTTATTCTAAGATGGACCTTCAACTTGCCCTGAGCTCTTCTAGAACCCTACTGGCTGGGGGAGATGAGAGCTCACTATCAACATGTAAGGGAAAAGGTGGGAAAAGGTAGATGAGTAAGATACTGTTCATATAAGGAAGTGAGGCAAGCTAGATGCTGTGCTAAAGCATTTTTTGTGAATGGGATTATTGGATTCTCACAGCCCTTTGAGGTAAGTTGCCTTATTCTCCCCATTTTATAGACAAGGAGTTTGGACACATGGAGTTCAAATTACCTGCCCAGGGTCCCACGGTCAAGAACATGTTGGGCTAGCATTAGATCCCAGGCAGTGACACCACAGTTGTGGGAAGAAGTTGCTTCTGGTGGCAAGGATCAAGACTCTGGAGGAGACTGTACTTGAGAAGGGTCTGGGAAGCTGATTAAGATGTCAGTGATTTGAGATGGTGTGTGCATGGCAGACAAGAGCTGGCATTCCAACTGAAAAGGAAATGTAAGCATCTAAACTCAAAGATGTCAACCCGGAGCATATCTTTTCCATTTTCCCTATTGCCACCATATAATATAGGCAAATACCTCAATTCCTAAGTGACCACAAGAGTTGGGAAAAAGAAAGGTGAATTCCTAGTATCCCTGAACACAACCCTTAACTAGTGACAAAAAAGAGCCGGCAATGGAAGTTGCAAACCATGGAATGTGAAACTCAAATTAGGGAGGTCTCCCATTGCCCCCAGCCGGGAGGAGGTAGGTGAATTCGGAGTAAGTTGGAGTTCTCTTTCCACATCAATGATTCATCTTTAAAAATGTGAAGTTACTGAATAAAAGTGAAATTGGGTTTTCAAGTGCCTCTGGCCACGTTCAAGTCATGCCTTCTGTTGGCTCCTTGCTGTGCAGGTGTTTCTTCTTCTCGGTGTGATTTCACCTGAAGGCAGGGGTTTCTGGGGCAGGGTGTTCATGGGCAGCAGCGAAGCCTTTAAGGAGAACCATAGGGAGTCTTTCTGGACATGGGCTGGAAGAAGAGGCTTGGTCAACTAATCAATCAACTCTATTTGTTGAGGGCTTACTCTCTGGGCCTAGAACTGTGCTAAGCATGTTTAATAGGAAGTAGATTTTTAAAAAGCATAAAGGTAATTATGGTTAGAATTTGTCTTCCCCATATACTGTGCTATCTTAGGACAAAGTAGTTCCATTCTTCGAAGGCAACCAGGAACCGACAACCCCAAGTGTCAGATACGGTGACGAGCTCTGCCTTGTCCCTCCACACAAGCCTGGAGGCTGGTGTCGCACTAAGCTGTGAGGGAAAGGCAAGCTCAAGGAGTGACGGGTTTATTCAGAGAGGTCCCCTGGGAAAAAATAATGAATGGAAATGAGGGAGGGGTCGTGATAGAAGAGCAGAACATGATGTCTTCAGTTTGGACATTCAGGATAGTGTTGCAGAAGGCTGTTCCAAAAACCATCAGTGATTCTACGCAGAGCTAGAAGGAGGGTTTTTTGTTTGTTTGTTTGTTTGTCTTTCTTGTCCACACTCCATTTCTTATTCTGGAGTTACCCTGTTTTAATAAAAGGATTTTTCTGTTACCCAAACACAAGTTCACAAGCAGAAAAATATTTCTGTCTGGACATGGGCCAAGTGTGAGGCACTGTGCCTTACATTGCAAACAGTTCCAAAGAGCCTGGGGAATCCAGAAATCCTGCCCACACATTTATGGGCCTGGCTTCTCCCATCTTTGTGCAGCCTCATGGCTCTTTAAAGAATGAGCACTCCTTACTGACTTTTGGACTCTGAACCAAGGACTCTCTCTCAGATCCTCTCCGGGAGGGTCAGCTGACTTCTCTCTAGTCTAAGAGAGCAGTGGGTAGGGGGGCGGCCTTGATCAAGCTGATAGTCCCCTGATATCAGCCACCACCCTCCCCCGCCCCCGCCCGCTGTGACTGGTAAGAGCCGAGCTTGCCAGTCCTAGTACAGTATGAAGAGAGGAAGGAGTCTTTGTGACAGAGAAGGAAAGGGGGACAGGTGGTCAGATGGAATGAGAAGGCCCCCAGCCAGCTCTTTGAGAGAAGGTAATGCATTTGATGTACTCTAATGGTACCCCTGACTGAGGGGCCATATGGAGCCCTGGATACTGCATAATTCTATCTCACTCCCTAGTTGAGACCACCTTTTCCTGCCAAAATCCTACTGTCCGTTGGGTCACGTGGTTGCCACCGGTGTTCCCTACTGCTCTCATTCAGAAGGGAAAGGTTAAAAATACAAGGAGTGCCCTGGTGTCTGATCCTAGAACACCTTTTATAATTAGAGTTTAGCCTGACTTTAGCATCACAGAGCCTTCTCGGAATGTGTTATTTCAAAAACCTCTATTTAGAGATAGTCGAGGTTAACTCTTTAAGCCGTGAGACAGAAACTGGTAGGACAAAGGGCCAAACTGGGCTGTAGATGCACCTGGAGAATTTTCACTGGCTCATACCGCTCCCTCTGATGGCAGGCTCCCCTGATTCACGCAGCTGTGTCATATGCTGGGCCCCGAAGGCATTTGGGTTTGTAACCCCTCCTCAGGCACTGACATCTTTAGGTGGCTTTTTGATGGAAATCTTTCTAAAAGATACTGTGCTTCCCTGCTTTCTGAAGCAATATGTAGTAAACATAATTTTCCTTTCTACCCTCATCATATGCTCTGTGTCTCTAGTCAGAGCTATAAATTCAGAATTAGATAATGTAGACAAAAAGCTGACTGGGATTGACTCAAGAAGTCCTTGTAACTTGCTCTGAAAGGTCCCTGAGGCCTGGTCGCCCTTTCGTTGATTGTCTGATGCTTGCAAAAGCCAGGCAAAGCTAGGGCAGCAGCCTGAACCCCTGGGTAGGGTAGGATGGTGGCTTCCTCAGAATAATTAATGAGTGAAAAGAGGCTAAAGCTTTTTCAACCTCTAGAATATCCTGTCTCTGTGCTGTTCCCATGACCCTGGCCTTGGCTGCTCATTCCAGGAATGTTGGGGAATTTTTTCCTGGAAGTCCCAACAACTGGACATCTCTTCCTCCAATCTGAGTTTTCTTAAAACTGTGGGGTCCTAGTGACTTGTGGTCTCTCACCCTATGATGGGTTTTCCAATGAATAGTTCAAGTGATTTGGGTACATTCTGTCAGTAGGAGTGCTCATTCCTAGTGAGATATATATATATATAATTTGAATTCCTTAAAATCTCTCTCCACTTATCTCTGTGCGGTCTTTGACTATGCTGGAAAATGAGGAGGGGGCTGCAGGGTTCCTGTGACATGGTAAATTCCCAGGGGCCAAGGCCTTCTGCATGGCTTGCTCCACAGTTGTTCCTGAGTCCTCCCTTGCTTATAATGCATTTTCTGTAGGAAACTCTACATCCCAAGATGCAAGGTACTGCCGCTTATCCCCCAAGTCCCTGCATGGCTGCCTTCTGAATGGTCCTGCAAAGGCAGGAACTGCTGGGGCAACAGTGTTCTGGAAGCTCGGAAGGCAATTCCAGTGCAGCTGAGGAGTGGCCACCTGTGCTCTCTTGGATAGCACACCTTGCATCTTGGGGGGTGTGGGTGCTGACACTGGGATCAAAGTCTTTTTCTATCATTTTTCTCCATGTTGTTTGGGTTCAGAGGATGGTGTGTGTGTGTATTCTAAGAATGTGTTTTTAACTTATCGTCATTTATATTTGCACTTGGTGACACCTTCCCCTTGACTATGGCCTATGATTACGTGCCATCTTTAGCTTCCAGGGCTGTTACCAATTTTTGTCCTTTTGCGAATATCCTTGAGTATTTTGATCAGAAGTTGAAGGCTGGGTAGGCATCACAGGCACAGCTTTGTGCTACCATCTTGGTACAGAAGTCCCCTGTCCCTGCTTTGAAGAGAGAGCCAGAGAGAGTAGAGCAAAATAAGCAATACTTATTTCTTTTATCTTCCTCTTTAAGTGCTTTTGTTAAAATTCTGTCCTTTACTGGAAGAAACAATGTCATTTCCCTCTAACCTCTTCTCATTTGCTGTCTTGAATTTGAATTTTTGCTCTCATTTTCAGTTGTGAGCAGCAGCCTCTTGCTGGTGATTCTGAATCTTGTGCTGACAGCGTGGCCAACGCACTGCTAGGCATCTCATTTGGGATCAGAAGGTTAAGGATGGGATCCTCTTAATTAAGAGGACTAATTAATTAATTGTTGTTAGTCCTCTCTGCCTTAGTAGATTGAATCAAGGACCATTTCCCATTTTCCCTCTTGTTCCAGTTTCCCACACGGCGCCTAGCGCAGGTGACAGGGCGACAAAGAGGGAATAAGGGCTCCTTGCTGGCCACTCTTTCCAGGTGGTCTTTTTCCTTTCCTGGAGGTTTATCCCAGATTGTTCTCTATATCTGGAGCTTCTGTGACCCTCATGACTCTCCGGGAAATGGACTTCTATAAAATCTACCTTTTCCACCAGGGGGGTGGGGAAGAAGATGAAGTGAAGAGGCAGAGGGGAAAAATGTAGGAAGAAAACAGGAAGATGTGCATTGCTCTGTACACAAGTCTCTCCTTAATAGCAGTCTAATCTAGTGTCTTTAAAAAAAAAAATCATCGC